ACTTCAAAAGCCAAACCAGCAATTTTAAACACTCGGTGCCAAATACTAAATCGTTTAGCAACTCTACCTCACAAATTTCTGCCTCCTCTCACCCAATTATGGCTTCTCTGTCATAATTAGTATGTCTTAGCAGTGAGTGTATGGGACAGGCACAGAGCAAACACATCACTGTGTTACTTTAATTTCTATGGAAGTAGTGATCTTCCATCTACAACCATCCAACTGACTTTGCAATTTACCTGACAGTGAGGATCAGACTTGCTTCTGAAAAGTAAGCTGAATGTTTTCTATCATTCCAAATAAAATTTCCCCAAATCTATTCCTGCTATATGATGAAATTTGCCCCAGTTCAAACATAGTATTTTGGCAAGGTGAACTGAGCTGTAAATTTTCTTCATCTAATGACCATTGGAAGTGAACAAGATCTTGAGTCTTGTCATCAGCAGCTGTGAAAAAACAGCAGGCTGGGCAGCTGGAATTTTGTTGTTTTTTTGGGGTTTTTTTGTGCTTGGAGGCATAGAGCCATGCTTATTTCATGTAGTGACATTGTTTGTTTTGAAAGATCCTAGACTGTGCCTGAAACAAGAATCAGGGCACAGACATATTCTTTCTGATGATGGCAATTTTCTTCCCAAATCACAGGGTTCACTTGACTAGAAAACTATAGAAATGATCCTGCATAAACATTGTGGAGATAATTACAAAATAAAGAAACACTACAATGAATCTATTGAGATCTTTAATTCCAAACTGCCACCATTCCAGAAAGAATAAATTGTGAGTTAGTCTGACTCTTAAGCATACAATTAAGCCTGTCAAGTTTTGGCCGCATAGTATCTGTTTAATATTGAAAAATCTGTCAGTAAACCAATATATGGCATTAATGTCATAATGCTTTGGGTTTGCTTCCTCATGGAACAATAAAACTATTTAGCCAAGACAAGCAACATGTTATTTATACACCTTTTGGCAAGAATAGTTCCCTTTTTGGATTGAAATTGATGAGGGGAGCTGAGTATGTGTTCCATGTCGAATTTACTCAGTAATTTTATTAAGGGCTTCCTCACAAAGAAATGAATGTTCTCAATCTCCTTCAATACTCATCCTACTCATTATTTAAAACAGAAGCTCTCCATATATTAAGTTTCCTCAAAGGGTTTTCTATTAGTTTCAATGAATTCAAAAAATTAGGCTTCAACACTTTTGTTTGCAAAACTATGAAAGTCTGAGCTTTACAGTCAGAGCAGAAGGTTTCGCCATTTCTGGAATTTTTGAGAAGGAGGTGTCAATTGAAGGTTAGCAACCTTTAAAAGGAATCCTTTGCACATCCTTACCATGTTTCAGGTCATGCTTCAAGTGCCATCCAACATCACCCAACAGAGCTTCTAATAATTTCACCAGATTCTCCAGGCCAATTCCTTCACCTGGCTCTAACTAAAGCTCCCCCCAGAAGGTCTCAGAGCTCACATCACAACCAAGTGTTTACCACTACAGAGTCTTGCACTACACACAAGAGAAGTACTGTGGTGGGAGCTCAGTGCTGGAAGAAACAGAGCATGATAGACGAGTTACCTTCTTTTCCCTTCCTAGATTTTCTATTCACAGCTAATGAAAATTAATAGGAAAGCTGTCCTTATTATTCCTCAAGAGTTTTGGTTTTGTGATGACTCACAGCAAAACCAGCTAGGCTATGATAAGCTGATCTGCTGCCCACAGTGAAGCCCCCCTGGCTGGGAATGTCTACACAGAGGGATCACTTTTGCTAATACAGGTGGTGACCACAGTAGGCTGCATTTCAAAAACTTCCTTCACTTGTCACTACATCCACTCAGTACTGTCTAGGTCCATTTACTTAGCAAATGAATTTTGGGGACTAGCAGATAGAAGTTGCTTGGAACCCTGCCTCCAGTAATGATTATTATTTAATACAAGGCTTGTAGATTAGGTATCTTCTTTTGTAGTGACATCTATTGCCATGATAAGCTGACAGTTCTGGGAGATCACAAGTCCTTTCTTAGTTCTAAGAGGAGAGACAAACTTTCACATATGAATGCATTTCTTCAGGCTTAAGAAAGGTTTGTACTCCTGAAGACTTGCCTCTCTTGTAAAACTATATTATGGGTCTAATAATAAACCATCTAAAGATCATTGTGGCTGTACGCTCTTTGGCACTCTGTCATTAAAATTGAAATGGAGAAAAGTTGGAATTATACCTCTCATAAAAAAACAATATATCCTCCTCCAGGGCAAATTATTTACCTGTTCTTATTCAGGAAGGATCATGTTAACAAGATCACATGGAAAGAGAGAGTTGTCTACCTGTTACTGAAATCCATCTCCCTTATTTTCTTCCTGAGTAGTTCAATCAAGGAAGAAACTGGGAGGAGTAATATAAACAAAATGTGCTCTTCATTTTCCAGAGAAAACAAAAGGGCAAAGAAGCCATTCCTAATTCACAGCACTGTTACCAAGAGGAAGTTTGGATAGAACAGGTTAGATTTACAGTCATTGCAAGAAATAAATTTCAGGAAATATCCAAGAGGATAAAGTTATTTAAAGAGATGAGGAGATCGAAACTACAGTCCTAGTGACAGTTTTATTTTTATTTTTTAATAAAAATTATTGGAATGCTTTAAAGTATTTCTCTCATTCTTGCACACAGAAGTAATGCCATGTAGGTAACCTTTTAAATGAGAAAGATGTGTGTCTTGTGGGGTTCTACCAGAAAGCAAATCTGTTTTCAATAAAGGAAGGCTAAGTGAACAGATTCTGGTCTCACTTCCTAACTCTAAAACTATGGATCTGTGACAAAGGGCAAACCACTTAAAATTCAGCATCTCCTAGTGAAATTGGTAACAAATGCAATGAGCCATTAATTCCAAACAAGAGTATTTTTTATTCCTATAGGTAAAGAAAAGCAGTTCCCATAACAACTTCTATATTTCAGGATTCCTGGAGGGATGACCATACTAAAAATGAGCAATGTACTTCAGTTACTTATCTCCAACAGTGACCAGAGCAAGGCAAAGTAAGATGTAGAAATTCAAAACTGCCAAGGAGAACTTTCTGCCTGACTTCATGATGTAATGGCTAACTGCACAAAACACAAGTGTCTATATTCTTTGAAACAGAGATGAGACTAGGGTTAGCAGCAGATTTTCTCATTATTCCCCTTTGAGATCTTTTTAGGGACCAACTCTGTGCCCAGTGACAGCCCCAACGCAAAAGCTCCATTGCTATGAACACCAACACTGAGCTGGACAAGTGCTCAGCACAAGTGGAGGCATCAGGATCCTGGTGATGCGTGGTGACTGCAGACAGCAACGCACACAACATGCAAGCTGGAGAGGGAAGCAACACAGACCTCAGTCCTCACAGATCACATGTATGGGTCTGACTCTGGTTTTGGAGGAGTTGTCTGCCTCCCAGTTTCTTCATGTAGAAGCCCCTTGAGAAGCTGGAATGCCCTTGAGAATGTTTAAAAAAAATTCAGGAACTTCGTCAACAGAGCTGATACAAAAGATCAAGGGACTTGATGCACCTGTGATAAAATACAGCAGTTGGACAAAGGATTGAGGATCACAGTGATGGTTAAATGCTGTACTTAGGTGTGCAATGTGTTAGTTCAACATTTCTGTGCAATTCTAGAGCCTGCCGGAGACATAGATGTGGACTGGGAGACAAACCCTCCCAAACCGTGTTGATGCAAGTTCTGGGCAAGTCTGGGGAGTCAATGCATTTGTGACAAGACAAAAAAGTATAGCTTGGGACACTCTCTCTGGAGTTTGAGAAAACAAACTCTCCTTCCTATCCATGAATTCATCTCAGTGCCATGAGTAATTGCACAGTGAGAGGGAGGAAAGAACATTTACACTTATAAACAAACCTCTATCCAGAAATCTTTTAAGTAGAAAAATCACCTGTAGGGAAAATGAAACTGAAAAAAAAAAAAAGTAGCTGGAAAAAAGCAAACCAGAACTCTAAAAGGAAGGATATCATATTAAAATCAGAAAGTTTTCCAGCTGAGAAATAGAAAATGGACATTTTTCATTAAAAACCCTGACTTTGAGGCGCTTATTTTTTAAGTTTCTTCCTTTAAACAAAGCATTAAAACTCTACTAAATGAGTCCAAAATAAAATAAGTCTGAGTAAAGAGGAAAAGCTGGCCAGACTGAATGTCCTAGGCATTGCCCTGTGAAAATAATTTCGCACCTGCTGAGGAGCTTTGCATGGAGATGTAATTATAACACAGTACTTCACCCATGTTCTCTAAAACTAAGCTCAAAAGTATCAAGAAGCAGATTTTAAGGAGAATGAAAACAGGCAGTTTCCCATTTCATCAATGCTCACTTTCATTTATAGGGCAATACAGTAACTGTTTAAACTCAGGTGTCATACCTGAGAGACTTCATGGAGTTACTGCACCTAGGAAATGCCAAGCAGTTGTCCTCCCTGTATGAGCAGTATTGTGTGGAGCAGTATTTTAAGTAGACAGACAGGTTAAAGACAGGGAGTTTTATTTCCAGTTACAATTTTTGAAGCACATAGCAGCAACATAAACATGTGTTAATATTTAATGCTATGCATGTCATATTCTAAAATACTTTTTGTGGAAGCCTATGCCAAAAAAATATGGAACTGTGAACCAGAAAGTGTATAGTGTAATTCAGCATAAGAATGCATGGTATACACTTATTTAAATATAATCCATTATGTTTTTGCCATTGTCTTTCTTCCCTACCCTAATTAATTACCTATCTCGTGTTTTTACTTCAAAACACTTGCTTAATAGAGGACAAACAATCTTAGTTTTGTTAAGCAAAGAAAACCTCCTTTTCTTTATGCTGAGTCACATAAAGTTCAACATAATCTCTTCAGAGAATGGGAAAATAACAGTTTCTGGGAGCCAAGTATGGATATATGGAGGCCAGCAAATAACTGTGTGAATCTGTGAATCTTAAAATGCATTCAGAACACAGCTCTCTGAGAGCAGTAAAAAAAAAAAAAAAAAAAAAAAAAAAAAAAAAAAAAAAGACATCATATCCCCTAAATTACCTCCGAGCTGTTTGCATAAAGGGTCCAGAGGCAGTACACTATAAGTAGAGAGACATGAGCTGTGCAGAGAGCACACGGCAACGCTTCTGTTGGACACTCCGTGAGCCTGCAGCAAAAGGGCAACCGAAGCTCAGGTGCACAAACAGCTTTAAAGGACTTGGCAGATGCATCAAGCAAAAATCTGAAACTACAAATCAGGTAATTTATCAAATAATTTCCTTTTTAGCAGATTCTACCTTTCTGTCTAAAGATTGCTCTGAGTCAAATTGCCTATGTGATGTTCTTAGGGCTGTTACTCAAGGATTTCATCAGAACTGGTAAAACCTGCCAGTAAAAAAGGTAATAAACTAATTTTCTACTTGGGAAATTTGTGGATCTTCATAAAATTGTGCATTTCTTTTATGTTCTGAAGATATAATTAACCTAAATGACTGCTATAGTAGTATTAAAGATGTATTCCATTCTACTGTAGGAACTCTGCTTACTGTAAAATACATCCCTAAGCATGTTAGAAATTCGGTACTAGCTAGAAGAAATAGGAAAACACTTGGCATCTGGGCAAGAGGTAATAGAGGATACAATTATGATTATGTCTCTGAAAAAAATATAAGGTACTTCCCTCATTTCTTTCCATGCAAGAAATCTCCCTGCCACACAGACCATAGCTGTCTTCTTAGCCTGACAAATACCCAGGCATATGGCTGCTTTAAATGCATAGAAAAAGATAGCAAAAAACTACTGGTTTATTTAGATTTGGCTTTAACTAAAGGTAGAATGGAAGCGCTGCTAATCTAAGTATCATTTTTAAATTAACTCTTAGCAAAGTGAATTGACTGATGGAGATAGCAGGTATAAATGTCTATACCTTGTGCATACAGAGTTCAAGGGGGAAATTATATTTGCCTCTTGGCAGAAAGCAGAGCAAAATCAGTTTTTCAGAATCACTTGTGCCTCAGGAAGTTCATACCATATTTATTCTGCCAGAAAAATTAGCAACTACCTGGTTTTAATTATGAAGAATTGAGATGCTTTGAAGAATAAAAAACAGAGAGGTTGCTAACAGAAATGAGGAAAGACCTTAAGAGACTTCAATCCCTGCAGCAATGCTATATTTGTTTATCACATTGCTGTTATTGCTAGGTTTACTTGCTCCATCTTCCTCCCCTGTTGTTCTCTGTCCAATGGAAGTTGCAGGAACCCCTGTCCCACAATGCCATCCATCCAGCTGCCACTGCTACTCCTCTGCTTGACCTTGTGTGGTGTTTGCTTCAACGGGGGACATCTCCTTCCAGAGGAGAGTGAGAACATGGGAAAAATTCCCCTGGATGACATCCTTCAAAGATCTGAAAGCCTCATTCTTCAGTCTGTCCTCAAGAAAGCTGAAAAGGAAGAAGAGATTAATAAAGGTATCTATCTCACTGTGGACACCCATTTGGTGATGGCATAGCACTTGACTGAGATCATTAGATCCAAGGTATGATTTCCAGGTCTTAATGTTCATACTTAGCACTGGAACTAAGGGGAAGGGAAGGAAAAAAGGGCTGCCACAATACACTGACAGACAGTTCTTCACAGATGCTTTCTTCTCTAAGATCTCTTTGCTCAGGACAGGCTGCACTATCATTAAGCAGCTGCTGCATAATAAAAAGGTAGAAGCCTGTCACAGAAAACCTGCTTGTTCAGCAGGTACTTCCCTAGGAAAGCTCTAAGAGGACCTATGAAAGACATTCTGCAGCTGTGGACCCTGTACCTAATGTAAATTTGAGGTGGGGGTGCTGCCATCCACCTACTGCCTGCATCCACTGGTTCCTACCCCCTCCAAAAGAGGTGGGCTTTTTCCACAGCTGTAAATACTAGAGACTGCTCCAGTGTCTGCACCTCCCACCTTGTAGCTGCTCTGCTACCAGTAGTCACAGCAGCAGAAGATTAGACTCAGAGATTGCAAGAAACAGCACAGAGATGCCTGCCAGCAAACAAGAGCACTGGGCCTTTCCAGAGTGGAAGACGAGCTGGCCCCAAATGCCCACAGGAATAGTTATCCTCCCTCTTCACATCAATGCTGAGAATTGGTTGTGTTGATCCCAGTGCTGAAATATTAAAAAGAGCCTAAGAATGAGTAAGAGATACTAATAGTGTTATGACTGAGTTGGCTTTCAAAAATACTGAGTTGGCTTTCAAAAAGCAACAGATTAAGATCCCGCTCCACAAATTCCTAATACAACTTCCTTAGGGAGGATTATGGGGTTTTATTAACCTTATTCTTTTCCTTGTACAGAATCAAATGCCCCTCTGCTACAACAGCTTTCCAAAAGACAACACCCTGGGAAAAAGTACCTAAATAACCTGGAGAAGAGACAGCATCCTGGAAAAAGAGATGTTGAAGAAGAGACATTTTATGGAGACATTCAGAAGAGGCAGCATCCAGGAAAAAGGGAGATGGAAGATGACCTTGATGTCTATCTGGAGCTGAAAAGGCAACTGCCTCCCGGCAGAAAATCACTGTTGGATCAGTTTGCATACAGCCCTAGGGCACAGATAACCTACATGAATAAGTTATCCAAAAGAGAACATCTAGGCAGAAGATATCTGATGTTCAAGCACCAGCATCCTAGCAAAAGAGGCTGGAATTATGAGGTAGATGTATACAGTGAGAAACGCCAGCATCCTGGAAAAAGGCACTGGAATTTTGACCGCTCAGATGACACAGGTCCCTGCAACTTTCAGGAGTCATTCACTTGTCATAAAGGCAGCTTGTTGCTTGATTTAGTAGAAGATGTTAGCAGAGACAGGGTAGAAGAAAAGCGTCAGCACCCAGGGAAGAGATCAGCATGGGAAAGTGAAACAGAGGAATGAGAAAATAATTGTGTAGCACTTGCATTTGGTGAAGTAAACTGCCAGATCACTAAAACATTCAGTTCACTCCTTTTTGGCTTCCTGCTGCTGACCTCTGCACCTACCTTTCAATGTGTTAATGTTCCCATCCAAGTTAATGGCTTTGTCATACACTTAAAGCAAAGGAACTAAAGGACCTATCTGAATGGAACAGGAAAGTACTTAAATTCCCCCACTTTAGGAAGAGTGCTTATTTTCTTAGGAGTCCAGACCCCAAAATAATCCAACTATGTGTTCCTAAATGACTAAAACAGGCTCTTAAATTGCTGTTCTGACGCTACTGAAGTAGAATAATTATATGGTTTCCTCTCACTTCAGTGAAATCAGTAAACAGTGAGGAAGAAAAAAGAACACATGCCAATTGTTTCAAAATTAAATAGAGCAGGTTTTCAGTTCTAAATGATAACATTCTGGACACTTGAGTCCTTGTACACTACAATCTGTCCAGACAGTAAGCACTATAAAGAGAAAGGAACAGTTTCAGCTGGAAAAAAATAAGTGAATGACTTCATAATTTGTCTTGGAACTGGCACATGAAAACCCTGCTCACCTAAAAGGCTAAAGAGTGCAAATGATTAATGCATCCCTGAACATCTCAAGCACACATTGTGTCCCCTCTGACTGTGTACAGCCCACACAAGAACTCCCACCCTGGTGTGTCCACACTTCAGTCATGCCACTTGAAATCATGCCTTCTCCTCAGACATGTAATAATAAAGCAAGAAGAGATCCTTCCCTCCCAGTGAGGATTTCTGATTTCTCTCCTCTCAAAGGAATGCTTTTACTTTCTGTAGTCAGACTTCCAAAAGTGTTTATTTGATATGAATTATTCAATAAACAAGAATAGTCAACTCTCGTGTCCTTATTGGTTGTGCACACACCGCAATGCTGTGAAAAGCATACAACAACTCAAGCTAAATAAAATAACATTAAAGGGTATTTTTCTATGTACAATCTCTTTGCATACTGATGGTCAGCACATGCTTGCACTTAAAATTATTTCATTACTGAAGTGGAAGGATGATAGACTCCCTTAAAATATTCCACCTGTATGACACACGTAATTATGCATCTGTGCTAAACTCACATCAGTTGTGTCACCCACTTCATAGGGAACTTGATGAGAAGCTGATTTCCTGTTTGTAGGTCTAAACAATAGATTTACTGATTTTTGCAATTGATATGCACTTACTGAGAACACTGGGTTACTCATATCACTTCTTGTACATTTGGAGAGGTTATAGCACACCAATATTTTGCTACAATGTTATTTTTATGAACAAATGAGTATACTTTCCATCAACATTCATTCTCATTATTATCGAGACACATTAACTGACTTGGAACTCCTCCTCAGTTACAGAAGTCAGCTTTGCATAAATCAATTTAGCTATCCTGAAGAAAAATAATTAACCATCTCACAAGTTTCACAGGCTGATCCACACTTAACCTGTTTTCTGCAGTGGTGCAGACATACTAACTTGCAAGTACACTCTTTCTCCTACAGACATCATTCTGAGAGCATTGACTGCCACAGGGGATTTCACACTTTTGTGACTATGAAGCACACACAAGCACAAGTTAAAAGTTAAGTATTTGTCAGATTTATCTACACCTTAAAAGCTTTTTGGCTCTGAAGTTTGGCTGAGAAACTAAGTAGAAAATAGCCAGCTTTTATCCTGTAATGTTATGCTTCTTTGAATAATAAATATAGTGCAATATCTTAGAAATATTAACAACTCAGATATATATACACTGTTTAGTTATAATGTAAGAATTAGTTAATTGCACATCTCTCTCATCATTTTTATTGTATATCTTCCCTTCACTGTCACTTTTTATTAGAACTTAAGTTAATTTAATATGCAAACATTCACAAGTAACTAGCTTTGCTCTGTCACTCACACTGTGACAACTGCAAAACCAGGACTTACAGTTAGTTACTCTGGTCCCTGAGGAAGTGCACTATCTGTCTGTCAGACTGACTGGGGCTCTTCAGGAATGAGAACAAACCAGAAACAGACTTGGTCCAAAGGTCATGGAAGTCAGTAGCAAAATCTGCAGAATCTGAATTAAATCCACAGAGCAAAGCTGTGCAATGGCTCTAATGTGGCAGCACAGTCACACAAAATCTTATTTCTAGCTTTAATTGAGACTAAACCCACCTTGCACAGATGAGTTCTTTGTTGATTCCACTGCAGTTTCATATATCTGGGTATTATTACCAGTTATTGAGACATAAGGGAGCTTGATTCATAAAGCAGAGATTTTACAAGTGTCTTCAAAATGAGTTTTGCTTTTAATGGTGGAGAAAGTTCAAGTGAAGCAGCTGTATAATTAACATTCCCTGCAACTATTTTCAACACCTCTCACCATTACTGTTCAATGCCCCCTCCCACACATTTATGAGCCTTGACCTCTTTGCTGAGCCACTGTAATTAGCATGGGCTGAGTGTTTCTGAGGGACATGTGGCCCAAACAAACACCATTATTACTACTTATAATGGCTCATTAGTTGAAGAAAGTTTGAAAACAGCATCATCACCACAGCTGAAGTAGAATCACTGCTTCCCTGGTAACTCGGTTAACATTAAATGGTCAGCTGCAACTTTAAAGCATTGGTCAGGTCAGGACGTCATTGTAAGTAAAAAATATGATTGAAAGTAGTCAAGGGGAGAATGCAAGAGGGGTGAGACTGTGTGAGGTCTAATTGTACAGAGACATGACACAAAAAATTAAGATAGGGAAATCCTTTTGATTCTAGGAAATGGGTATGTGGACTATAAGCATGGGAGTGCAGAAGCCTCACTTCCCCTTCTGCCAAGAACAGCATGAACACCTCTGCAGGGTAATGAGGAAAGGCTGGATAGAGAGACCTTCAATAAAACCAGATGGGAAACTCCTTGAGAAAAATGAGCTAATGTACCTGCCTTAAGACTACTTTTAGACCTCTGTGTAGACATTTGTGCTTTGTTTCCTTGATGAAACCAATACAGCTTAAAAGTACTAAGAAGGAAACCAAGGAGAGGACATTTGTCAGATACCGGCCAATTGACCTTGTCTGCTTCCATGAGATGGAAGGAACACTGGCTGAGTGTTACTAGATCATGAATTGTATTAGTATGCTAGAGCAGGATACCTGTTTCTGATAGAGATGGGGCATGTCAGATACCAATACAATGGAATGATCCCAGACAAAAGGTGAAATCAGCTCTTGAACTTATTTCAGACACTGTGGATTAAACTGACAGCTGGTGATCCAGACAAGACAGCAGTATGTCACAGAAGGGTTGGCTGAAGTAACACCTTTCTCATAGCTAACATTTCCTGACTTTCTTCCTGTTCATATGCATTGGAAAGAGGGGGAATCTGGACTCATAGATTGCACAAATACTCCTACAAAATGGAATGCAGGTAAACGAGGATCCAACATGCCATAGCTAGTTCATTGCCATCTTCTCTCTATAGTGGAGGTAATTCATATGATGCAGCATAGACTGATTATTATAGGGAAAAATGTTAGGTTATAACTCAGACAACTAGGGGAAGTGATCTAAGAGTCTGCCTGAAATATGATTGCTGATTTAAAGTAATTTTCACAGAGAATCATATGTTTCCACCTTGAATTCCCTCTTGATTTTGAAGCTGGTACTGTGTGGAGTGTCTGAAGAAGCTTTGTGAAAAAACAAGAGGAAGAGGAGAAAAGTCAAGACAAATGAAAAATATAGTAAGAATTTATGAAGGGTTTTCTGAGCCAAAACAGTCAAGACAAAAAGTAATCTCTTTGAACAAGCAAGTGGTGCTGAAAAAGAGAGCAACAACAACCCTACAAAAAAAATCATAAATCATTCCCTGTCAAATACCAACTGGTGGGGGTATTCCACTTATTGCTTTTAGACATGCCGTCTTCAAGAAGGGCATTGGTTGCTGCACAAGTCTGTAGACAAAAGAGAAGATGAGAGGCTAGAAGAGACAGCACCCAAATGTGGTGTACTTGACATTTGAAATGAGCCCTGAATGGAATCCAGACATCACAGTGTATGGCTCTTGCAGTTAAATCATTAAATTAAATGTAAATGCAAAGGAATTGTGAATCCTCCCGTCTCTCTTCTTTATAATTTACATACTTTATGTAAGTGCTGCCACTCCATGGCACTCAGGACCAATATGACAGATTATTCAGCAGTGTTAAGGGACCAAATAAACTTGAGATGATGACTGGCTTGCAGGTACCAAAGCAGTTAATCAACAAATCAGATAAAAGGGTCTCAATAAATAGTCAGCTGCTGCTCTTACAAACCATTTGGATTGATGAGATTGCAAACACAGTAAAAACCATGGATTTGGCATGGAAATGTAGCTTCTAGCCTGTCTACACAGACTAATTAAACAGATTTGTTATGTATCAAAATGTTTAGTATAAGTAACTTGAGTATATTGAATATATGAGCTTTGGTAAAATGAACAGCAACAATTTTAGTTCTCTGAACAAAATGAAAAATACAGGAAATTTTAGGCTAGATCCACCTAAACAAACAAACAAAAACATCTTCTCTGAAAAATTAAAATCAAAGATCATTAACATAATCAGTTGAGTTTTGTGCTATCCATTTCAATATTAGGAAATTTGAAATTAATTTTAAAAAAACTATCATTAAATTATGAAATTGAATTTAGGCAAATTTAGAAAACAACATTAAACTAAATTAAGTGACTATTTTGTTTAGGGAATATTTACAAAGAACATTCTGATTTTCCCAAGAACAGTCTGATTTTTCACTATGCTTACACTCTGTTTAGAAAGTCTATATTGAACTCAATGCTGTTAAATTTCAGGTATTTTAAACCATTTTTTCCACTATGTTTGTGAAAAACATCCCACTTGAATACCCTGAGAAGTAGACAGGCATCATTTGTATTTACCTCTCCTATACTGAGGTCCAATTCCATTATTAAACATTCCAAATGGTACTGAAGGTATTACAAGAAGTCAAAGAACACAGATGAACCCAACTGGAACATATTTCTTATTGAGCTGTGCCATGGCTACAGGGCTAACTGGGCCCCCCTTCTCAGCTGTATTCCGAAATTCAGCCCACTGAAATTTCTCCTCCTGGACATCAGTAGCAATTACCAATTTAGCAACAGACCAGGTCTTAAATTTCACAGTTAAGGGTTATCAGACAAGCATATTTTACCACTTACTTTCTTACTGTTTGCAGAGGACCTTGACTGCATCAGAGGAGGAGTTACCTAACAAATACAGGGTTTGTCGGCTGAGCTTTTATATCCCAGTGCCAGGATGGGCAGTAAAGGTCTGATTTTGCTGCTGGAGAGAGTACTTCTGCACTACTGTTTGTTTGCATTCATTCCCTGTGAGCCATTACTGATACAATTGCAGTCTCAAAGAGAACCTGTAGAATTGCAGTAAGGTTTAATTTGTCCCCAAATACCTCTTCCTACTGTAACTAGCTGGATGAAGACAAATTAATTTTTGAAGCACTGTAAACTGAATCGTTTTAGACTGATCTGGATGTTTTCACTTTGCAGACACTCTCTGTATGGGAAGTGTGATGAGCCTGACCAAATAACAGCAGCCAAAGTCTTCTTGTTTACACCAGCAAAAACTAGATCATGCTCAACATCTGTTAAGAGACACAGAAGCTCAATTTTCCCTTTGGGAGCAAACTGATACCATTCCACATATCACTGCATCTGGCATAATTTTGTAGTATCAGTTCTCTAATTGTCTCCAAGATATTCACAGTAAGTCTAATACCCTCATAAAGACCCAACTCATATTGAGCAGGTGCAGTCATTTCATGGGGAACGTGTTTCTCAGGAAGGGATA